ACATATTATACACACCACACACACCTCACACACTACACACATAATACACACACTACATATACACCCATGGTACACATATCACACATACCATACACACTTCACACACCACCACACACACACACACATCACATGGTCATTATTGTCATCACTAGTATAAACTCTAAAAATTAAAAGAGAGTGGAAATAAAATTTATCCTGGAAAAATAACCACCAATAGAATTCACATTTAATGTAAAGAAGCAACAAAATTTATTGACTGAATTAAACACAACATTTAAAATGGCAGTGCTGTACTTTCATTTTAAGATGTTTGAATGAAGAAAAGTGCTATTAGTCCAAGCTTCTTACATTCATTAAAGGAGTGACTATCAAAACCAGCAACATGCACAGTGATACATATGCACGAAATGGAATTATATCAACAAATATACAAAATACCCAAAATAAAATATTTACAGGTTTAAAAATATAAACATCGGTTCATCTATCCCATTAAACCATTGGAGAGGAGGAAAAAGAAAAGGCCCTATTGTTATTTAGAATCCTTTTTAAAAACAAGTCTTAAAAACATAGAGTAATTTTAGGAGACAATTTCTGATGTTGGGGGAGTTTAACATTCTATTATAAAAATAATATCTATAAACCTACTAACAACTTTCCTCCTGTGCACAAAAATAATACAGCCAAAATCTTGTCCTCAGAGATATGCTTGACTTTCAGGAAAACTAATTTTAGAAATATGGAGTTTCTTATTTGGATTTTCTTTGTCTTTATTTTCAACAACCTGCAATTCCCTATATTAAACCGAGATATTTTCTATAAATAACATGGGCAAAACTGAAGTTAGCAATGAGCGTGGTATGTAGCTGGAGTCCATTAAAAATGACAGGAATTTATTTTGTCTGTAACATCTAAACCATTTTCCCTGATATTCTTGGGAAAAAAAATACCACCATCTGATCGTTCATATTCAGCTAAATGTATACAATGTTAGGCATTACTTTGTTAGAGTTTTTCCTCTTCTATTTAGAAATAACTCTACAGTGGGGCATATTTGAGAAGGTTTACTAATTCCTCCAGGCACCCTGGGTTCATTTCATTTTATGACATGATAACGAGGATTTCCTGTGTGTCAATTTAATACCCCTGTGTCATCTGATCAGTTATTTTTAGTATTTTCTTTTTTAGTGTATTAGGTAGGGATCTGAGAAAGTTTATTATGCCTCTAACAACCAGTGACCTAGGTTATATTTTATTAAAAATGATCTCACATAGAGTAGAAAGTTACTCTACCTAATTATTGAATAACTTCCAAAAATTACTCCAGTTTACTATTCAACACAATGATCACCTGTGATTAAATACTTTCACTGCTTCTCATTAAGAAAGCATTTCACCAAGTGTGGGCAGCCCATATATGAATAAAATAACCTCTTTAATTGTGACAGTGATGCATTTCAAAATGATTTTCCCTAAACACTGACACTTGCAACTTCATAGAATCAGAGTGGAAGAAAACAGGTTGTAACCTGCCAAATTCACTATTGAAATTGCTTTTGTTGGTTTTTATTATTGACAAAGCTGTCATCAGATTATAATATCTGTATGCAGACCTGCTAGCATGCAGTAATTGGCGCATATGGCCTAAAATTTTGACTGGCCAGGTGAGGAAAACAAAAAACAACCCTGCTAGCTCCAAGATCTACCTTTCAGACTTGCATGTACAAAGGCCATCAAATAATTAAAAAAAAAAATCAAGTTCACTTTTAACTGAAACAGTCATCCTTTTAATGGTATCCACAATCATAAAACTCTGGTTTGACTCCTGCAGTTCAGAACTTTGATCAGTTTCTTAACTAAATCACACATAAATTTAATCAGATGTCTAAAAAAGACATAATTAAAGCACAAGTAATAGAGTTAGATTTCTGGTCCACATTCTGTCAGTGGCTTGCTAAATTGCTGCCATTTTCCAAAAGGAAAAGATATTTTACCTTTTCATCATTTTCCTCCTCCATAGAACAGAACCAAGCCCCACCTTGCCTGATTCTTCTGGACAGAATGTCAACAAAAACAGAGCACCATCTCAGCTCACAATAAATCCACAGCATAGGTTTAGACTTAGAGGTGTGCATGAAATAGTAGTTGAATGAATGAACAAATCAGAAAATCCAGGCCAGCATTCAATGACCAGAGACAGAACGTGGGATGTACTACTTTCAAAAGAGCCAGGAGTTTGTCTCTGCAGTTCAGAATCATGCTGAGGTGGATGTCACTCCACCAACTACTAGTTCAACAAACAACACAGGACACCCAGAACCAGCCTAGACTGGGCTTAAAGGTAGAAAAACAAGTGAAACGTGCTCAGCATGACCGAAATCCTATCAGGGCAGAAGTATCACCATGACAACAGAAGAGATGTCTGTCTACACTTTTGAAGTTAATCCCAAGAAGGTGCAGATCCCTCCCAAGCAAGGAGGATTGTCTGCCTCTAAATGGTACCCAGCGGCAGCCTCCCCCTGGAATGAGGCTGAATACCACCATCTCCGACACAAAGCCAATTCTCAGCTGCATGACATGCGTGGGCTCCTTCTCTATTGAAAGTGAGCTGTTGAGATTTAGCAGTTCTTAGCGCTTGTACTACTGTAAATCATTAAAGAGTGTCTATCCTTGTCCTGGGTGAAGAGAGAAAAAGAGAGGGATGGATGGAATGAATAGGATAGAAGTAAACCAAAAGAATGAATTAGGTATGCTCTGTGAGGGAGGTAGTATCATTTAACCCACATGGCTGTGAGAGGACTGAGTAAATATTTGTAAAGCTCCTGGAAGGGGCTGGCATGACGTACTCGACAAATGTTAATTGTTTGTATAATTACTACTCTTACTTTTAGAGGAATATGTGTGTGTGTGCTAAGTTGCTTCATTCGTGTCTGACTCTTTAAGACCCTCTGGACTATAGCCCGCCAGGCTCCTCTGTCCATGGGATTCTCCAGGCAAGAACACTGGAGTGGGTTGCCACGCCCTCTTCCAGGAAATCTTCCCAACCCAGGGATTGAACCTGCGTCTCTTATGTCTCCTGCATTGGCAGGTGGGTTCTTTACCACTAGCACCACCTGGGAAGCCCTTTTAGAGGAATATGTTTGACTTAACCCATACCACCCCTGTTCAGTCTCACTGCATTTTGCTCCAACCCACAGACTATCAGCAAAATAAATAAATAAAAGTATAAAATGAAATAAAGGATGTTTCTAATGAATATTAAGAATGTCTGATTCCAGTACAGCTATGTGTGAACTCTGAAATGAATGGGTTTTTATTAAGCACGAGATCCAGTATAAGCCCCTTGAATATGTGTTGCATTGAGTTAAAGGAAATATCAAAATCAGATGTGCCCAGTTTCAGTTCTGGAGGCTTAGTGGCTATTTTAACCTTTTGTTTTTCAGTTTGAGAAGGAATTGCTTTCCATAATCATGAAGCGATCATTCTGAATCAGCCCTTAGAAACATTATCTGGGGAGATAACTGTCCTCGGAAGTGGCTATTGTTGCAACAATCGCCTCCTCTCAGTGGTCATCACAGTGAAAAGGCTGTGAGAGGCTATGCAGGGTGGCCTTCAGACAACCTTCAGAGCAGGACAGGGTTTGCCCTGAGGAGGGACCACATGCCCAAATCACCGGTTATAGCCCCCTCCCTTCAACAAGTATTAATAAATGTTGGCCTCTGGTTTTCCCACCTGAGAAACCAGGCTGCCCTGTTAGTCTTTGGCTCCTAAACTCCTTTTAAATATTTGTGCGTACAAAATTGAAGACTCCTAAATAAGAACTGTGCTGTTCATCCCTCAGTCTGCTTGGCTAGCAGAAGGGAAGTGGGAATTGGGCTGGGGTATTTCAGTTTCTCCTCTTATTTCACCCAGGTACTTCTAACAGGCCATCCCCAATCACATATGGATGTGAGAGCTGAACAATAAAGGCTGAGCACCAAAGAATTGATGCTTTCCAACTGTGGTGTTGGAGAAGACACTTGAGAGTCCCTTGGACAGCAAGGAGATCAAACCAGTCAATTCTAAAGGAAATCAACCTTGAATATTCATTGGAGAGACTGATGCTGAAGCTGAAGCTCCAATATTTTGGCCACCTGATGTGAAGAGCTGACTCATTAGAAATGCCTCTGATGCTGGCAAAGACTGAGGGTGAGAGGAGAAGGGGGTGACAGAGGATGAGATGGTTGGATGGCATCAATGACTCAGTAAACATGAGTTTGAGCAAGCTCTGGGAGATAACAAAGGATAGGGAAGCCTGGTATGCTGCAGTCCATGGGGTCGCAAAGAGTCAGACATGGCTGAGCGACTGAACAGCAGCAGCAGTGGTAGGAAAAAAGGTACTGTGATGCTTTTTCCTTATGTTTAATGGTGTAAGATTCTTGGATTAATTTTTTATCAGTGATAAAGGGAGCTGAGTATACATGTGAATGTAGAAGCCAAGCACAGGGGGCCACATCCACATAGTCTTAATGCAAGAAAGAAATCCAGAATGTCTGTGAGCGAGGACCGAGCTCCACTGTGCAAGTGTCAAAATAGGCGAAGATGATGACCAGCATCCCAGTCTCTGCTCCTCTGAGGGCACCACGGAAACAGGATGGAAACCAAAGGAGAGATCAGAAAGCTCGCACACCAGTCTCTTCAGCCAAAGTTAACTGTAAAAGGTCGCTGAAAATTAATCTGACAAAGAACGTAAATAACAGAAACTCAGAAAGTTCAGCCAAAGACACCGCCACCACTAATACCATCTTTCTACTCTGACAACTGTGAAGGTAAAGGGTTATGTGAATATTCATGGAAGTGCCAGTAAATTGGCAGAAAACTATTTCTGAGATTAATGAATAAACCCTTAAACTCCTGAGTCATCACTTTCATAGACATCACACAATTTGTATTTAAATAGGCAGATAATTTGTGGGAAATGGAGTTAAAGGAAGTCTTTAATGTTCTACATTCCATTGTTGTTATTAGATGACATAATGCAAATCTACTTCCTCTTGAGATGATTCAAAATGCTCTAGGGCTAATGGAAGCAAGAAAACTTTAGTAAGAGGCATAGGGGTTCGAGCCACACTGCCTAGGTAACACAGATGCTGAAGTCAGGCTGTCTTTCTGCCAAGTTGTTAAAATGACTGATAAATGGAGGGCCAACAATTGATTTGGACCTAGAGGATGAGATGGTTGGATGACATCACCAACTCAGTGACATGAGTTTGAGCAAACTCCGGCAGACAGTGAAGGGCAGGGGAGCCTGGCACGATGCAATCCATGGGGTGGCAGAGAGTCAGACATGATTTAGCTAATGAACAACAAAACTATTTGACTTTTTCCTACAGAATTTGGCCAACTCTTTGACTAAAGGGTCTCAACCAACTATCTTAGCATCATAGATTCACAAGAAAGGTGTCAGCAGCCCATATCCAATCCTTTCCTTTAAAAAAACAGCAAATATGGCCAAATTACATAAGAGCATTAATAATTACTGGAATGTAAATCTACTAAAATTCTAGAATACAATCTCTATGAACATGAATAAGAGAAAGTAGCCCTTGGCACAAAAAGGCAATGACAATCCCTTGTCTGTGGTTGGAAAGGTTAAGACACAGCTCCCTACAATGGTCTTGATTTCCCATCAGTGACTGAGGCCATTTTACTCATTGCCTGAATCCTTCATTTGACTAGTGTGGATGGAATTCTTAAAGATAGAGAGTTTAAAAAAAAAAAAAAAGGAAAATATATGGGAAAAAGAACAGAAAAAAATAGTTTAAATCTTGTATAAATGGTTCACTGACAGGCAAGGGGAAATTAAGGTAAACTTTGCTGACATTTTTCTTTGCTAATAAAGACACAACATAGAGGTACAAATGTAGAAACAAGTCCCAAAACCATGAAAGCAAAACTAGTTTGTTCCAGCGCTTACAAAATAGATAAATAGGTTGTCTTCCTATTACAATATTCTCATCAGTCCTTCAGGACTTCCTACCTTCCCTGTGCTATTGAACAAACAGAACTCTGTCATGGATTCAGGCTGGGGAGACTATAACCCCTGCAAGAAGATGCACAGGAAGAAAATAAAGATCCTTTGTTTTACAGCTAGAAATAAAATTTATGTTCCTCCCCTTCACTAGGGGGAAATGGACAAATTTTGAGTCTAAGTAGTATGATCAGTGTTGAATCGAATTCAAATCCCTTTCTCAAGACAAAACTAATCTCTAAGTCATCTCCAAGTTCACGGTGAACGCCTTTGTCTGTTGGCTGTGCACAGTTGAGTGCCTGAGCACGTGTGAGCTGCTTTATGAATTCTTGGTGGTATATTCAGAGTGCTCAAGGCTATGTCAGCCTATGAGACCTCATCGACAGACATAGGAAATTAAATATTAAAACACTACTTTGAAATAACATTAAGGATCTGACACAACGCAATAAAAGCCAGTAATCTGAATAATAAATAAATTCAGTCAATCTCTACCACTTCTTCTAATGGAGTCATCGCAGGTTTAAAATGGGGAACAACCTGCTTTGTGCTATTGGCTAGGATTTGTATTCCTTTGATGTCTGTTTATTTTGTGACTTCTTTCATATTATTAAAATAGATCTTCATATACTTGCCTTCTTCTTTCTTTTATAAAACAGAAAACAAACTTAACAAGCATGTACTACCAGTTCATTACTTAGGGAATCTCCCTGGAAAATGAGAGTTGAAGAGAAGCGTACATGTCTTTTATGTGTGTGTGGTTTCACTTGAATACGAATCTCCCCAATACCATGAACCATCTCCTAGTAGAAGCTATGATCTTTTGATTAAATACACTGAAATGTTTCAAAGAAGATATTTTATAACCATTAGACCCTAATAATATTCTAGGAAAGGCTTCAGTTTATCATTCAAACTATCGAGGCATATGGTAACCCTTTCTGAAATAAATGCTTCATCTAAAATAACAGAAAACACACATATAAGTAAATCACTTTTCAAAAATAATCTTGGCACACAATGTTAACGATACATAAGTTTCCCAGTGTCATATTCTTAACATATGTGGCTCAGTCCTAAGTCATAAAGAAGAAGTCAATGAAAAAACTACATTTTCTATTGTTTTTCTTTACGTGTTCCTCGTTTTGGACTCCTCATACTGAGACATGGTTGAATCCTAAATTTTTATAACCAAGGTAAAAATCTCTGAAAACCAGGGTTCAGGGTGAGAAACAGACTTTTACCCAAGACAAGGCAGAACCATTCCTTTGGGACATCAACACAATAGATGTTTTTTCCCCTACACTGAAAGCCAGAGAACCCTTATAAAACAAAAAGAGAACTGCTTCTGTTTACAGTACATAAAAGAACATCAATGGTTTGGGAGCGGTTACGGAGTCTAGCTATAAAACCAGATTTTAAACTGGAGGTTACTGACAGATTATAAAAGGTTAACAGTTGGATAATCTGTAAAAGATGCGTTATCTACACATGAAAAGGTTACAGTTCATAAATGCTAAAACACTGTGTCTGTTGGCATTTAGTGAAATCTTGCCCTGGTCCTCATCTCTGTACTAGGTGGGGAAATAAAAAAAAAGAGAGAGAGAAAAAAAGCCCTGCTCTGCTGAGGTTTTTATTTCTCTCCAAACAAATGATCTAAATAAACCCACCAAACCCAAACTCTGTGATCATCTTAGTGGTAGATATATATCTATTTGCATACCTAGCAACTGAAAGTACAGCAGGTTTTCTGCCCATCAGTCCTGCCTCTGATCATCAGGTAAGTACCTGGCTCTTTCAGCTTTGCAGGTGTTTCCCACACAGTGATACAGCAAAGGGTGTTTTTGTTTTTGTTTTTCTTTTTTCTCCTGGAAAGGAAAAGGAAAATAAGGAAGTAAAGTGTCAGGAAGAGGAGGGCTCCTCTCTGGTTCTTCAGATGCTTCCTGGAGGCCCGCTGGACGGTGACACAGCCAAATATCATGGCATGATGCTTCCTTAGGTTGAGTTAAGTCTTATTTTCTGCAAAGGCAAGTAAAGGTGACTTCCGAAAGTTCGGTGCAATGAAGAAAAAAGAAAGGGGGGGGGGGGCATTTTTAAAAAGGTTAAAAAAAGGAAAAAAAAAAGTGCTTGAAAAGAATCCTCAGGGAATTATCTGGAGGGGGAATCCCGTTGTGCAGCATTCCCCTGCCTGGGGGCAGAGCTCCTGGGTCCAGGCTCCGAGTGGGGACTGTCGGCAAGGCCTTTCTCTGGGGACGCAACATTTGTCCGAGCAGTTTCCAGACAAAGTTGTAATCCTCGACATGCGGCCCCTCCACCTCGGCCTCGGAGACCTCACAACTTTTTGGCACTATCGTGGCACGCCGCGGCCCGGAGGGTGGTCCCAGCCAAGCCCCGGCTGCTGACCCGGCGGACCAGCACCTTGGACACCGGGATTTTGGTTCTGGGCAGCTCGCTCCTGGCTGGTGGCTGGTGCACCACCGGGTGGCTGGATGGCAGGTTCGCCAGATGCTTGATGCTGACCGGGATCTTGGAGTCCTTCAGCAGGCTCCCCGGCGTTCGCAGCGGGCAGGTGATGGTGACCGGAGACACAGGCTTTAACCGGGAAGAGCAGGACGTCTCCTCGCTGGCGGCGGGGGCGGCGGGCAGGGCCGCGGGGCTTCCATCCGGCTCGGCGGCGCAGAGCTCGTGGAGCGCGTCGCCACTGTCGCTGTCCCGGGGGAGGCCCGTCTTCCTCGCGCCGCCGTCCTCCTCCGGCCTGGGGGTGGGGGAGTCCCAGTAGCCCTCGTCGCTGTTGCGGACGCCTTCCTGTGGCTCCTTGTCTGGGTGCTTGGGTTCTTCCTTCGGGGGGAGCTCCGTGGGGACCCGGTGGAGCCTCCGGCGCTTGACCGAGGACGCCTCCTTGGTCACCTCCGCACACCTGGCTTCTTTGGGGGTCTCGGGAGCCACCTGCGCGTCGGACGCCGCCGCCGCCGGGGCCGCTCCTCCCTGGGGCCCCTCTCCCCGGTCCTCGGTCTGGGACAGCATGTCCCAGAACTCCTGCAGGTACGAGTCGTCCGCCTCGGCCGGGCTCGCCATCTCCTCCCCGCCTCCCTGGTAGGCCACCACGCCCGGCGGCTTTGTGGCGGGGCCCGGCTGGCCCGGCCCGGGGGCATGCTTGGCACAGCCGGGCCCGGCCTCGTCCTCGGGGTCTGCGATAATATCTCCGCAGCCTGTAAGAGAGTCAAAGCTTTTCAGTGAAGTCACGTCAGAAAACATCAGACAAATACGATCTGCCGATGGGTCGGAGGGCGGATCGACCGAGGAAGGGTCGGGGGCGGCTGGCGCGTGGCCGCCTTCGGAATCTGCCCGGGGCGCCGTCTCTGCCGGCGCGGCCCCGGGCCCCGCGGCGTCCTCGGCCGGCCGGCCCTCCCCGGCGCGCGGCTCGGGCT